TGCAACGGCTCAGATTATATCTTAAATCACTTGCCAACCACTTCAACCAATCATCATCATCATATCACCTTTTTGTAAATGTATTCGATCAGAGCTTTTTTCCTTTTTTACTTGTAATAGAGAAAGACAGTAGGTTATCACCAAAAACCTCCATCAGATTTGATCAAGTTAAATACACTCAGTGCGTCGAAACGTTGGTCCTTTGCACTTTTATTAAATTTGCCTGAAGTAATTCATGTGCTTCAGTATTTTCTTTGGATCCTGTCTGAGAGGAGGAGTCCACTGAATTATATCTTTTATATGTTCAAAAAGGACTCTGGATTAAAAAACAAATGTTCCTTCCATTAACAGAACAATGTGAACGGTATCAGGTTGCATGTTATCCACATTTTTTACTCCAAGTATACAATCAAACCAGTTTGTGCTTTTCAACTCTCTTCTCTTAATACAAATCTTCTGGCAGAGTTTTGACCACCTTTCTTTTGGGAGACAAAGCTGCCCATTGTTACACCATAGGTACACAATTATTATTTCATCAGTTTTGAATTGATGCACAACCTGAACATGAATCATGTTCCATACCGGTAACTGTTTTCCCTCATTTCTTCTGTTTCAGTTTGAAAGACCAGTTTGCAGACCACCAGACAATAGCTCTGAACACTCTTCAAATTCAATAACCATGAAATTCCAACGCCAAAGATGAGAGGTACATGTACAGCCATTATACACCATTTAACTCCCTCTGCTGGACATTTTCAACCTCTGTGAGAGAACACTTTTTGTCACCTGAGACGGTCATGCATTCAGAAAACAACTAAACACAGTGATGTCCTTACCTGTTGGGCTGTGCCACTGGAAATATTTATCACAGTCTATATTGTGCAACAAAAAACTAAAGTTGAAACAAAATAACTCTAAAGAATATGTTTAAAGTTATGAGATACCCAACAGTTGGAACCATCGTTTTCTTTTTGTTTTTTTTTATTCCTGAAAAATAAGTGCATAATTACACTTCTGCAAGGCCTTAAGTTATTTCACAAACCACCTACTACATTACCTTACATTTTACCACTACTTATCTCCCCTCCATTAAAGCTTATTCACTTCAAACACAAAACCCTTTTGTTTAAGTGTTTTTCTTGTCACTTACCACCAAACTTATTGAATCCTCCACGATCGCCCATTCTGAGGAGGAAGAGAGAAACGACACGCATTGGAGGATGTGCTGACAGGGATTTCCCTCACTGGGTTGTGGGTAACCTTCCCACTCAGAGTCACCCAGTTAAACCCACCCCTCTACATTTTGCATTTGGCTTACTGTACCCATACCTAATCTTGTTCAGAGTTCATCAAATACACATTAAGGACATGAGGCCAGTTTAAAGACCTTGTCGTGGTGTGTTCACAGGCAGCAGAAATTTGGCCATTTTTACCTTCAAGTAGCATCAAGTCTTTGAGCGACTTGTAGGTACCCATTTAATTTCATAGTATAACTTTTTTTTCTTAATTTAACCAACGGCAACATTACGACCTTTAACCCCTGGATGGATGTTGGGTATTGTTTTAGGTCTCAGACAACCTTTACTTTTACACCAATTGCAGAAAATCCCATAACAGATGCTTTTTGAGGCTTTTCTCACCACGTCCCAAATTTTGTCTGTAAGTTTTTGGGCTCTCAAGCTACAGAAAGACTAAAGAACATCTCTAGACTTTCCCCACTTTGCATTTTCCAAACTGATGGCTTAAGAGTAGAAAGCCAGCCTGTAGAGAAGGTAAAGCCTAGGAGAAGATTCACAGATTGATTAAAGCAGAGAATGACACAAAAATCCTGCAGGGGTCGTTTGGGAAGGGGTGGGTGACAGGTGACAAGGGCAGGCGATGGTAATGTATTTTGGCGTCTGAAGGTGAGTTCAGACCAAAAAGCAAACCTGTAATTGTTGTGAGGCGCAACTTAATATGAGGTAATGCAAGAATGAATCAGTTACATAAGAAAAAACGTGTATGACTCTGTGTTGCTAAAGCCTATCCGTGTTGAGATTCTTATGACATCATGAAGTTGCATCAGAAATGGTATGATATCATTTTACAGATTTTGTATATCACAGAAGCTGTAATCAAGGGACACAATTTTGATGGAAGCGTTCTGGTTTCCGTTTTTGTTCAAAGGAGTATTGTCATAAAGTGTTTCACAGGGCTTTGTTTGGCTGTATGCAGAAAAGCAGACCATGTAGAGAGAAAAAGAGGCGAACACATGGACAGTTGTGCTATCCTCAATCACCTGATGAAGATTTATTTTATTATAAAGACATCTGGATGCAAGTGCAGCTAACAATCTGCTCTACAGCTCCACCTCCATTCACGTTAGCTGATGGATTCTGAGACTGGAAATGGTCGCTTAGAGCTCCACTCAAAACTCAAGCATTAAAAAGTTGTTTGCTTTTCCCATCTTGCAAACACACTTTGCAAGATGAAGTTATTTCTGCATTGTGTCTAGATCTTTTTTGTAATTAATGCACCTCAGCATCACATCCCTTGTGACTATGTAGGTACAGTAAAACTGCTGAACACCAGAGACAGACAAACAGATGTTCTGAAGCTGACATGAAATGCCAGTGGTCAGTGTCCATCAGAGAAACCCTGGCAATGATCCTTGCTAAATCTTGGACACTGGTCAATAGCTTGAAAAGGCAGTAAATGTATATGGCCTTGGATTGTATAGACTACTAAAAGATGCTTTAATACTTCATGTCGCATTCACACACTCACAGCAGAAACTGCTACATAAAGTGACTGTCAGTATTAACAAATCCTATTAGTACACAATCACACAATCCTTGGTTCTTGTGTCCCACAGGAGACCTCAAATTTGACTGGAGGAGGTTTGGGAGTGATACCCCTGACCGTTCAGTTGAGAGACTACCTACTGTACCACTGAGCCACAGCCACCACAATCCTAGACACAGTTCTTGGAAAAGGCAGTAAAACTTGACGATGTGCCTCTTGATGATGTCATGAACCCTGACACCACTACTTTTGGGCCTCTTGCATAGCATCACGGCAAACATCTGTGGGTTGGGTTTGGTCAACACATAATCACACTCAAAGCAGCGCGAGTAATTTTAGGTAAAAATTAACTTTGCTTTAGGTCTGAACAAAGTTGCCATTTTGGTAACCATTTGGACTCTTGAGTTTGTAGAGAGGCTCACTGGCCAAGCTAGCTGAACTGTTAGCACATCTATCAATAACAAGGGTACAAATGTAATTTTAAAATAATTAGTTGGTATGTGGGTTAGTTCGGGAAATTCTATCTAACCCTTAACTTTCAGTTTAAACTCCCACACTTTTAGTTCTTGCCTTCGCAAACAGTATAAACATTTCATAAAGTCAAGCCATCACATCTCATACACATCTGGTTAAAGGGCACAAGCTGCTTTTCAACTAAATTGTTCTTTCTTAAATTTTAAACAAACATCATTATCAAACTAGTTTAACTTTTTAAAAGGTAAAGGATTAAAATGCACAGTCACTGAACAATGCTTATGTTCAACAACACGTGGTAAGTGGATGAGTCTTGCTCAGTGTCTACTTAAAAGGATGCCATGAAAATGCATTGGGTAGTAATTTGCAAATATTGTAATAGAGGTTAAGTAGATTTAATTGTAGCTCATGATGAATGAGGGTAAATTGAACGAAATGGCCAACGTAAAACCTCCAAAAACAAAAGCGACAACTTACCATACCAGTTTGTGCCTCATAGATTTTCCCATACGATGATGTTACTATTGTTTTAAGAGCTATTCATGCAATTTGCCTCTCCTCCTCAGTCATTCCATGTCAATGTATGGGCAATGTGAAGCTATGAGTTAACCAAAGTGTGCTAACAGCAGCAGCCTGCTAACACAACAATGCAGGGTGGACAATTTTGTCCACCACTTGCGCTTTTATGGTGCGTTCTAAATCATAACTCCTTTGTGCGAACGCCAGTGGAAATGGAGGTGTGTCGCTGCAGGAGAGCGGAGGCTTCAGAATAGTGGCAGTGTCACCAAACAGCAGTTTGTTTTGGTTTAATGCTCAAGGGCGACATCTACTGGATCAAAAGTTGCACATTCTTCCTTTAATAAACAACTTTAAATTGTATAAGTCTACTTATTTCATCATGTATATCGTTCATTCATGAGTTTGAAGAAAAATAAAGTTGGAGAACAGTCTGTTTCGATTGCTTGTCAGAGGGATTTTTATTTTGACAAATGTTCTCAACCTCTGTTAAGAGCGGCATGTTCAGTTTTCCTAGTAAACGCACCATACACTCCATCCAGTCAAACCACCATGATGAACCCCCAACATGTGGTTACGTGTTGCATCTCAGTTGATGTTTTCTTTAGTCGTTTTACATTTTAAGAAGTGACAAAAAACACTGATTGGGAAGTCTAGATGTCTGAATTCACCGTTGTAACTAACTTAACTTTGATTAAAATGTAATTTCTCCCCAATACCTAACTGTGTTTTCACTTTTTGTGTCAATGTAAAGAATCAATGAACTTTTCCTTAAGTGTGGTTGTGTGGGAGGGTCATGTTTTTAATGCATGTCATTTTTAAAAAGAGACATGTGAATTTTTAAATTGGTTAGCCATGCTCAGGCCTTCAGTGAACTTACTGACTTCAGCACCAACAGGTTTATCCTGGTTCAGGTCGTAGAGCTGTTTTCAAGGCTTCTCTTTCAGTGCTTCATATGTATCATGAGGTTATTTTTTGTATCTTCACACATGTTCCCAGTGTTTTCTGTTGAGTTTATATCGATGTGGACTCTGAAGGTGTAGTTTCATACCAGCTTTCAACCACAGGGATCTACATTTTAGACACCAAACTGCAACATGATGTGATCCACTGGACATGTAAACCACCACCTTCATTTTGTGCTATAGGAACTACGCTCTGAACATTTAGATTCATGTTGTACACTCCTGTTGCATTGCTTGCTTTTTAAGCAAGTTTTGACACACCAGAATTCACACCTCAGTTGCTTTATAATGTAGCTACAAATGTGTAGCGGTCCTCCACATGTAGGTTTCAAACTGTTAATGTGCATTACTGTGTTCAGATTTAGAGCACTTTCATAAGTTCAACAAGTACTAACACTAACACTCACCCCATGCCACCTCGACCTCTCGGTCCACCTCTGCCCCCTCGGTCAAAACCTCGATCAAATCCTCCAGCACCGCGACCTCCAAATCCACCTCCACGGCCCCTTCCACCACGGGCATCCTGACCTCCATAACCTCCATCAGGGCCACCGTAGCCTCCACCCCCTCCGCCACTCATCGGAGGGCTTTCGTCACCATAACCTGAGAGAGTTGAGAGAAAATCAGATGTTAACAGATTTACCTGTTAAAAGTGCAAGATCAACTTTGATTAACAAAGCTGCTTTATAAAATCAAAAACTGGAATATATACATATAGAATTTGCAGTTTTAACAACTCTTCCCTATAGAAACTAAAACATACAACTAACTTAGATAGAAACCAATCCCTTACCTCCACCTTGTCCATACTGGCTCTGTTGATTGTAGCTCTGTGGAGGGGGAGAGTTGTAGCTGGGGGGCTGGTTGTGGTGTCCTCCTCCGTGTTGGGGTGGTTGTGGGTGGCTCCCGCTGCCACCATAGCCTCCTGTGTGACCTCCACTGCTGCCATAACCACCTCCACTCTGCCCACTGCTCGGTGGCTGGTTGTAACTGGGAGCCTGCGAGCCACCTTCATAGCTGTTTAAGGTTAAGGAGAGAACTTTTTTACAGTTTGGTATGAAGAAAGTTAGTACTAGTTGGCATAAAAAAAGGCTTTAAAGAACGAAGGTTTTTATGAAGCAGAATGTAATTTTGTCTCACCCTCCAGAGGATGAAGGGGGAGGCTGCTGCTGCTGGCTGTATCCAGCGAAGGATGACTGCTGGTTGTAGCCCATGTTGGAGGACTGGTTACTGTTATAGCCTCCAGAGCTATAGGACTGACTGGGGTGATTATAACCACCACCCCCACCACCTCCTCCTCCCTGATTAGAAGATGGTGAACTATATCCTGGGAGAAAAGAGGAGACACGACATGCAGTTCAAATGTATACTGCCATTTTTATGCAACAATAAATCGTTGTGGGTTCACACAAGTACTCCTCTACCTGACTGGGGTTGACCATAGCTGCCATATCCTCCTTGGTTGTAGGAGCCAGAGCCGCTATCAGAGCTCTGGTTGTAGCCTCCATATCCCTGCTGGCTGTAACCTTGGCCAGAGGACTGACCATAACCCTGGTTAGCACCACCACCTCCACCACCGCCACCACCACCTCCACCTCCACCTCCACCATAGGACCCATAGCTGCAAGCAGGTAAAAAGAAAAGAGAAGAGTTTGTATAAAATATGAACAGACAGCTTAAAAATGTAGTGGATAGAATAAGCAATTTACCATACATTTCCAAGATATAACAATTAGAGCAATTACATACAAGTGAGTCATATAAATCTGGCTGTCAAACTCTTGTTTAGAGTTACAGTACTTACCCCTGGGCAGATGTTTGGGAATAATCTATGGAATAAACAAAAACTAATGTTAATACTAACACAACACGTTTAGATTGCAATAGTACAGTGGCTGGGAAGTGCAAAGCAAAATTACAAATGTGAGACAAATTTACATTTTGAAAAACATTTACATTTTATAAAAAGATGTGAAACGCTTTTACAATCAATGAGACAAATTTACAAACGTCAGAATCTTGACAAAATGGGAACGTGCCAAATGTCGGAAGTGATCGAGTGAGGGGGTCATTTTTTGTTTTTGTTTTGTTTTGTTTTGTCGCGGTGCATTCCCTTTCCGTCAAGATTTCTGTCATTTGTAAATTTCTTTGGGGACTGGTGAAAGTGTTCTGCCTCTTGTAAATTTGTCTCAGCGATTGTAGAAGTGTTTCACATCTTCCTTGGTCCTTGCTAAGTGTTTTTGGTTTTGTAAATTTGTCTCACATTTTGTAAAAGTGTTTAACACTTACTCATTTTGCTTTGCACTTCCCAGCCACCGTACAATAGGCATTTGACAGGAACATTGTTTACAGCCACTATCCCTGTGTCTATATAAATAGACACTTTGCATACTTATTGACTATAGCTAAATAAAACCATCACCTTCAAGCACATATGGGAAGGACAATTTAACAGGTGAGGTGTGTGTGTGTGTGCGCGTGCGTGTGAGCGTGTGTGAGCGTGTGTGTGTGTGTGTGTGTGTGTGTGTGAGCGTGTGTGTGTGTGAGCGTGTGTGTGTGCGTGTGTGTGTGTGAGCGTGTGTGTGTGTGCGTGTGTGCGTGAGCGTGTGTGTGTGCGTGTGTGAGCGTGTGTGTGTGCGTGCGAGCGTGTGTGTGTGTGTGTGTGTGAGCGTGTGTGAGCGTGTGTGTGTGTGTGTGTGCGTGCGAGCGTGTGTGTGTGTGTGTGTGTGTGTGTGAGCGTGTGTGTGTGTGTGTGTGTGTGTGTGTGTGTGTTTGTGTGTGTGTGTGAGCGTGTGTGTGTGCGTGCTGGGGGCGGGGCCGCCTTCAGAAACTGGGTCACATACACAGCAGCTACCGAGCTAGCTGATGCCACTAGACGGTTCAGCTTAGTAACAGCAGGTTAACTGAAACTACCGATAGCAACTGTGTGCTAACGGTAAACATGTCGGTGTTAGCTCGCCGGTAGAAAATGCTTTGGGGTCATTCGGTATTATAACCGGAGTCACTCGTGACGAAAACAACATTGCCAGTTCAAGCACTGCCTGCAATTTCACACACATTAAAGCAGCAGGTTAATACATGACATTCAACGACCTCCGAGTTATCAACCAGCTAACTAGCTTCTCATCACTAGCTTGTAACCGGGTAACGTTAAAACATCGGTGGCGATATTTCTCCATATAGAAGCAAACTAGTGTTTTTTTCGACATTGTTATCGTTTTCGCAAGCGCTTCATAATATTGTAATGTTTTTCCTCACCGTTTGACGACATTACGAAGACCGTGAAATAGCCGTCGACTTTACTCAGAGTCGGTGTGTTGTTGTTGTTAACGGACGGACTGAACCGGGGGAAGATGAAGAAACGCCGGCGGTCCCTCTTGACAGCGCAGTCGTGCAGTTCCTCCTCCGGCCGAAAGGGGGCGGGGCTGCAGCCTCCTGCGTCTTCTTATCAATAATACAGAAATAGATCGTGACATTTTTTTTTCAGCTATTGCAAAAATGATGTAGGAAAATACAATAACCAGGCGAGATTATATATTTTTTAACAGCAAAGCAACTTGTCATCTCTTCTAAATTTTTTTATTAAATTATGGTATTTACTCCAGTATATTTAACAATTAGAATTACAAGTTACTTTCGCATAAAAAATACAAACATTTGCTTGTAATACAATCCAGCATCCTTCTTAAATATTCACAGCCTATACAAATACTTTACTTTGCAATTTTTGGTGATTAAAGTAGATTAATTATTTTTTTTTGCAAGGTGAAATTTCTGTTTTTACACTCTGTTAACACATAGGCTGAAATATACCTCAGCAGTGCTCAGGAGGTGATCTGGCACCTCTCCAGCTACCATCTTCCATATTTGGTCCACACCGGGACTTGAACCGGCAACCCTCCGGTTCCCAACACAAGTCCCTACAGAATGAGCTACCGCCGCCCCAGTATCTGATGGTATTAAATAATAACACCACTTAATAGAGTTTTTCTGCGTTTGTAGGGTGGTACCATAAGAGGAGGATATCTCTACGTTTGAGCACAAGTTACAAAAAAAAGTTTGGATACTTGTGTTTATGACTAACTGTCAAATCTCACGGTCCCACTATAAAATAAATTCCTAATCCTATATGTATCATGTCACTCTCTATATGGTAATATAGGAGTCATAGGAAAAATACAACGCTTCCCCCTGGATTTTGGAGGAGCAGAAGAACAATGTCAACTAGGTATAGGTGTTGCACATTTAGTTAACTTTCACTTCTAGCTCTTGTTTATAAAGATTTTGAGTTGATGCAGAATAAGTATGACTATGCTCACTAAACTACAATCTAAAGTTTGCAGCTTCTGAAGTTCTTGAAAACAGACTTATTTATTAACACTTCAAAAGTAAAAATGGAAACATTAATTGTGTTTATGTATGAAATTCACTCTGCGGTGTTGTTGTTTTCTCGTCACCATGGCAGCAAAGTCTCACACAAGCAACCAGGCTTTCCCCAGGTGAGTGAAAACCGAGCTGACGACGAAGCAGTCATTACTGAAACCTAATTTCATCATGTGGGTTTCTTTTTTACTTTATTCTTCACTTTTCTATGTATTCTGGGAAATTTCAATTTTACTTTTGTATGTTTTACTTGGAGAGCTAAATATCTCCAATATGTGCTTCAGTCTACAACAGAGAAATACGTTTATTTGATCTGAGAGTCACAGCAGGGCCTTTGCTTCCATTTTATCTGCTTAATGTACTTTATCAAAAATAAAAAAGCAACTGAGGCTGCCGGTGTCAACATGAACCCTCTGATGGACGGTGACCACAGGTTGGCCCTTCATGCTAAGCAGTGCCACAGCGGCTCAAAGACATCCAGACCCAGGCATCTGAATCAGAGCAGCATTAGCTTTGGTGACACGGTTTGCAGCTTCACCACCACCCATCACCAGGTCAGCCTGCAGTCATTATCTAAACCTATAAGGTACTCAAGTCTGGTTTTATCATCGCTTTGTGTTTCCATGTTTGTCAGAGTTACTGTGGAAGGTCTACGGATGGACGTCCTCTTGTTTTCCACCACAGAGATCCCAGCTTCCTGTCGCAGCATCACGCCAGGCTAGCTCTCAGCACCCAGGCACTGAGTCGACTGCGGACACACAATCAGGAGGTGCACGGGCCCAAACACATCCCTGTGGTAAGACAATAACATCAGGACTACTATCACGACCACTAACACTGTCACTCCATGCATCCCATCCAGCAATTTAATAGAGCCTGAGTCTGTCAGTGGCAAAAATATACACTTTTAGTGGCAAACTTTGAGTGTGCACATGTGGATTACAAGGACTTCATTGCAGCCATTACAGCCTGTGCTAAAGGATGTCAGAGAACGTGTCTCTTTTGAGTACATCAGTCCTTGTTGTCATCTCTCATTTAATTGTGCTCAACCTTTTTTATGTATTGAAACTACTGAGTTTTGGTGAGCCTGAGTACCATTCATTGTTTATCGTTCACTTATTAAATATAACCGCTGTTTAAAAAAAACCCAAAGACCTTTGACAATTTGAGCCTTGGTCCCTCCCCGACCTTTTTTACCTCCTCATCGTTCCAGAGGATCGACCCAAAGGAGGAGAACTGGGGTCGGCATCGCAGTGGCCAGGCGGTCAGAGAGGTCACCAACTCTCAGGGTCTATCTGAATACCGGACCACCTACAAGACAGAGCACACACCACCAGGGATGGATGGCTCGCTACATCTGACCAGCGGCACACCCACACAGTGGCATCAATACAATATACTGACAGGTAGTATGAATAGCTCCCACATTGAAATACAAACACATTTCCTTCTAAGGAAGCTGTATTCACTGGTGTTAGGAAAGGGAAGCTGCTGGAATTTTCACATTAAGAGCTCAGAATTTATTTTGATACGGAGGATTTTGCAGTTTCATTACAGACAAATGTTATTACTAACACACAGGTCTGCAATAGAAACTATTAAATACATCATTGGCAGGCAGAGAGTCATCTAAAACCTGAAATGTTTTATCCATGTAAATTAAGGTTTTAGTTTCCACAGCACTGCCTGTATAATGTTTATGGGTGAGTCATCGCTTGAATGCATTTAAAATCCTGTGTCTACTGCCCTCCTGTGGCCACACAGGAACTGCAACCCCTACATTTTATTTTGTGGCGCAAATAGCAGCATAAATATAGATTTCTTATATTTCAGTCTCAGTGAAGAAGCTATTTTGTGTTGGGGGGGGGGGGTGGTGATAACAAATAGCAGTTATTTAACCTTTCAATCAACCCTGCTCTACT